TTGTGCTGTGAATGTCAGTTATATTTCCTTGTCCTTGAATACTCCCATCTAACATGTTTATATTTGTTATGTTTATGAACACTAGAAACAATCTTTGGGAAAAACCCATGTCTCTTGTCTGACAAAATAAGCTTAAAACAAAGCTGCCAAAGAAGTCTTCTTATTCCATAGCAAAACTATTTTTCCCCAGTCTGCAGTAGTGTTTGGTCATGTGTGACTTGTAAACAATTAGGAGTCTAACACATGTCTGGAAACTGTTTGTAAGCATATGCTTTCACTATTTGTATTCAAACAAATACCTGGATATTTATTAACATTACTCTAGGATACTTTCTAGTAAATAAAATTTTGAAAACATAAGTAAATAAAAATAATATTCTATGGTATCTAATGCTTTTTCTATTAGATCACTGGACAATGGAAAATGAAAGCCTATTACGCAATTGTTATCAGCTGCCAAACACACCATTACCGGTAACCATCTTTCCAAACTATTTTGACAGTTAATATGGTTTTGAGAATTGTCTGATCTAAAATGGACATGGTGCCATTTAACCCAAGTAGCCAGTGACTCATCGAATAAATCTTGAATGAAGGAATATTAATTTAGATTACTTATAGTAGGCTGTGCTTCAAATTTTCCTAAAAATATCCTAATCAATGAAAGCACAGGGGAAGTTATAATCTCATGACCTTATAAGGTTTGTTGCTATTGAGTTTTTCATTATGTCACCTGACTACTTTATTTCATCTCACCAAAAGGAAAAAAAAATAGCTACACATGTTTGTCTGTTCTATTTTGTCACTTCCTTGGGGAGTTAAACAGAATACCCCAGCACACCTCCTGGTGAGTCTGTGCTATAATGATAATAGAACTAGGAGCCACTACAAATGTTCCATGATACAAGAACTGAGCAAAGATTTTCCAACAACAGTGAGATTGTGACTAAAAGAATTTTGTAGAAAACTGTCACTTTCTTTTTTTTCTCTCTATCCTATCATACCCTATGATACTAAATACTATATTTAATTGCATTATTGATATTTTATGCCAATATGCCAATAGTATATTGTTATCTCAACAAATAATCCCAGAGATCATAAATTTTCCATCATCTCTCCAAAGTTCTGAAAATTATGATCTGTATCAAAATAACTTAAGAAAAACATCATGTCATAGTACACATCTCAACTGAATGCTTTCATTTAGCAATGATTTGAGTTAGGACAATTCTTAGTTCTGTGCACTCTGGAGGAGTCAGAAGTTACTTAGGTTGTATATCTCCTTCTTCTCATGGAGTTGTTTGCTCAGAAGGGAAGTCTGAGAACGTCTTTTAAGGTCAATGAACAAACCCAGGAATGTAATCAGGCTAAACTGATCTGGAAGGGAATTCAGAGAAAGCAGATAGTCCTTTCCTGGTGCTCTGTTTGAAACAAAATTGTTCCAGTTCCCTTTCTGTGCCTATTGTTAAAGTTCCAGCTATCAAAAATCTATAGCCAGTCAAATTTACCTGTTAGTCTTTGAAGGGTGATTTACACTGCATTGGTGTAAATCTAGTGAAGATCATAGCTGCTAAAAAAAACAGTTTTGATTCATAATAGTGGATCATAAAAGAGAGAATTATGAAACATTTTTCCTACAGAAGCCAGATATCTGCTACACAGGTTCTCCTTCATGGTTGAAAAGACTTAGTGTGCTATTACTGCATAAACTGCATTAGAACATTTATACATGTACCTGATCCCTTATCATCGCTGCTAGTGTGAAGTAATAAACAGCAGATCTATTGTAGAAGTTTGTCCATGACTGTCATCAAAACCATTTTCTTTCTTCACAAGACAAACATGCAGTCCATCATGTCATTTTCAGATGGTCCAGCACCCAAAAGGATGAAGATATATTCCTCATTCTTCCTTCTGGCTGAACACGTCATCTCTCCTATGGTTTTGAGCCCTTACTCCCAGTGGACAGAGATAAACACATTCTAAAGGAGAACAACCATTGTGCAGCTAAACTTCACTAAAGGGTCAAGATTATTTACCATCTTAAAGGCCAGAACAACTTGATATACAATTAAATAAATCAAGACAAAGCTTTTCTTCACATTTTTTACCAGCCTGTTCTTCTGTATGCTTTGCATGTACAGCCTGTCATGTTACACTCAGGCTGGATTTCAGAGAGTATTTTATACCATACACATGCTCATAGAGATTTTGGCTTATGCTCTACTCTGTAACGTACAGAGGGAGCAAGGGGAGTGCCAAAAACACTATAATTTTTTTCAGCTTTATTAGACAAAGGATAAATGAAAAAATAATAATTTCAATATAGGATAAGCCATTTCTGTCTAATAATAATAATAAACAACCTCTAAATGCACTAAATTAGCTTAAATAAATAAATAAATAAATCACCTTTTATAAAAGGATTTTCCTTAGAAACATATTTCAGGTTTTTCTTAGTCTGCTAGTGCAAGAGTAATTCCTGGAGTGATATAGAAGGGGTGCCAATTCTTACAGCAAACATGGATATTTTCTGTTTTAAAAATCATACCCAATTTATTTCAAAAAAAAAAAAAAAGTTTTCTTTTATTATTATTATTTTTATAGATATTTGGATAAAGATCAATCTACCTTACTCACTATGGAAAGAAAAAATATTAGGTGCAGATTTGGAAATCCAAATATATAATATGGAACACCTGCAAAATCTATCTCTTCATAAATTATGTTAACAGAATTTCTTCATCTCTGTATCCCTTTTCTGCAGAAACTCCTCTTGATACAACAATTTGTCTTCTTGATGTCTTTGAGAGGAGCATGATTATTAGTAGCAATTGAATGAAGACTATAAATATGATGTGCATTCAAATTACTATATTTGCTTAAATTAGGGTCCAATACTGCCACGGCTTCTGTATTTCTAGGGAGAGGTGTTGTGCCTTAGTCACTGTAGATTCTTCCCCTTATTTGTAAGATCATTTTAACCAGAAGGAGTTTTTAAAATAAATGTTACTAGCAGAGTTCAAGGAAGAACTTTTGAGTGTTTTTTTTTTTTTTTTCCTAGCAAAGCTTTCCTTCTTAAGCCTTGGTTCTTTTGGCCAAACTCAGGATTAGAGCGGTGCAGCAGAAAGTATATGAGACAATTACAGTAGCATAAGCTCCGTATAACGTCTGTTTCACCAAGTGTGGGCCAAGGAGGGACTAACTTGCTTCTAGCCCTTGAGACACAACACAGAATTCCCAGGGGAGAATAGCCAGGTCAAGCCTTCCTCCCTGTAAGCCTGCCTAGCTGGGCTCAACAGCCTTCCCTGAACTGTGCTGGTGGTATTGAACTGAGTTCATTTAAGGTGATTTCTTCGTCATACAATAAAGGCAATTGAATTGCAAAATCATTTGCAGCCTTGGGAGAAAATGTCTCTGAGAAGAATTGGAGCTCCAGCCAGCTCCAAAAGGGATCCACTGCTGGCCAGAGCTGAAACAGTGAGCAACACTGGTTGTGCCTCTGTGAGAGCAGATTTAAGAAAGGGAAGAAAAACTGCTGCACAACAGCAGCTGGGAGAGGGAGGAGTGAGAAACAGCCCTGCAGACACAAATGTCAGTATAGAAGGAGGGCAGGAGGTGCTCCAGGCACGGAGCAGAAGTTCCCCTACAGCCGCTGGAGAGGCCCCTGGTAAAGCAGTCTGTACCCCTGCAGCCCATGGTGTACCACAGCAGAGTAGGTTTCTGTGCTGCAACCTGTGGAGTAGTCCCCAGTGGAGCCTGTGGATATGGCCTGAAGGAAGCTGCGGCTCATGGAGAGCCCCCGCAGGAGCCGGCCCCAGGCTGGAGCTGCAGCCTGTGGTACAGACCCATATTGGAGCAGTTCTTGAAGAGCTGCTTTCTGTGGGAAGCCCACGCAGAATCAGTTTGGGAAGGACAGCATGCCATGGGAGGGACCCCATGTGGAGCAGGGGCAGAGAGTGACCATAAAGAAGAAGCAGAGAGAAGGTGCTATAGACTGACAGCAGCCCCCATTCTCCATTCCTCTACATTGTTCAGGGGGAGGAGGTGGTAGAGGTTAGATGGGAGGAAGGCATTTTTAGTTTGATTTTAGTTTTCATCTCACTAGTCTGTTAATGATAGGCAATAAATTTTATTCATCTCCCTATGCCAAGTCTGTTTTTCCCATGATAATTGTTGAATCATCTCCCTGACCTTATCTCATTGTATTTTCATTGTATTTTCTTTGTATTTTCATTGTACTTTCTTTCCTTTTCATTGTATTTTCTTACCCTTTTCCTTTGGGAAGGGGGAGTGAGAAAGAAGTCATGGTGGAATTCACTTGTGCAGATAAGTAAAATCAGCACATTATCATAAAATGGTAGTAGGTTTTTATCTGAATTCTACAATAAATGAAGCCTTTGTTTGGAGTAAATTAATAGATTGATGCAGAGAAAAGGAAAAGAAAAAAAAAAAAAAAAAAAAAAAAAAAAAAACAAGTATGTCCTGATGCTATGCCAGGCTTCAACACCATGAAAAGCTGGCATATGCAAAGTAACAGTGTCGTCACATGTATTACTGAAGTGGACTTCCTAGAAACAGCTATTCTCCATAACTCTTTCAGGTCACATTTACTTAGGTGAATTTTGTTTTGCATCTTGGACCTTAATCTCTATGGTTTTTACACATCCAAAATAGACAGCGGGAATTTCTAATATAAAAACCAAGTACGTTAAGTGCAGCATGCACTTCATTACGTGGAAATTATAGAATCATAGGATGTTTTTTTTTCGAAGGGATCTTAAAGATCACCTAGTTCCAACCCTCCTGTCATGGGCAGGGACACCTTCCACTACACCAGGTTGCCCAAAGTCCCATCCAACCTGGCCTTGAACACCTCCATGGGGCACACACAACTCTTCTGGGCAACCTGTGCCAGTGCCTCAACACCTTCTGAGTAAAGAATTTCTTCCAAATATCTAATCTAAATCTACATTATTTGAGTTTAAAACCATTACCCCTTGCTCTATCACTGTATTCCTTGACAAAGAGTCACTTTCCAGCCTTTCTGTAGGCCCTCTTTAAGTACTGGAAGGCCTTACGATCTCCCCAGAGTCCTCTTCTCCATGCTGAACAAACCCAGCTCTCTCAGACTGTCTTCATAAGAGAGGTGCTCCACATCCACATTCTAACACATCCATGTCCTTCTTGGGCTGGGAGATCCTAGAGGTGAATGCAACAGGGAAAACAACAAAACATCTCAATGGAAATTAATTAAAGAATGCATATTTCATTACACAATTCAATTATTAGCATTTATATATTACAATTGCTAATAATACCAAACTTGGCTTATTTACAAACATACATAATAAACTAAATTCTTCCCCTGGATGCTGGCAAGCCAACATTTTTTGTTCTGGATGCATTTTCCATCAAGTTAAATAGGTGAGTAGTTCAACTGGTTTCTAGTCTGCCCCTCCAGTTGTTCTTGTACCATTTATAGGGCTATGTTCTTCAAGTTTGGCTCATGGAAGAAACAGTTGAATTTATGAGAATCCCATTTGTACCTTCAGTCCTCATGCATATGTCATTATAAATCAAAAGCAGCTCCAAAGAGCTCAAAGAGGAAAAACGGTGTGAGATAGAAGAGCCAGCCGCAATTTGGTTCATTTTTTAATTTAAATGTTACTCCAAATTGCAGTGTCAGGAATACCACATTACTCCTTTCATAAAGGTTGGAGGAGTACACTTTGACTTTTGCCCTACCCAAAATACTCTTTGTGACAGAAGTAAGGGATCACTGGCATAAGGAAGGCTTTCCTCTAGCTTGGGATCCCATCACATTTGAGAACACCTCGGTCTCTTCCCTCATCCACAGCTGGCTAAATATTTCTTAACAATATTGAAATAAAGGGACAATGGCAGTGTAACCGACCTGGGAAATCAATACCTCATTTTCTTGTTTAATGATGCTAAAGCTGGTCTGGCTTCACATCAGTGAAAATTTTGTCAGAGGTTCCCATCAGCCTTTTTTACGTCTCTGTCATCTTGGTTAAAGATGTAAAATTTCATTAAGGAAATTATTTTGCAGTGATAAAACTGCAAAAACTCTGGCAAAAACACTAACAAGTATAACTAGTTAAAAATCTGAACAAGTAACAAAAACTGAACAAGTAGTCATAAATAAATGTATAGTGTATCAGTGAATTTCTAGTATAACACCATAGAGTCTTGTGCTGAAGTCCTAGAGCATTTCATATAGCAAATATTATAGAGCATTTCCAGAGTTTTATTAAATCATTCCTCATAATCTTTGTTAATAACATTAAGTTTGGTGAACTGGTAAATAGCAAAGATGATACATCAGGCATAGACAGCAATTTGCCAGTGAACTCAAGTACAAGCAAAACCATCATAGAATCATAGAATATCCGGAGTTGGAAGGGACCCTTAAGGATCATCAAGTCCAACTCTTGACACCGCACAGGTCTACCCAAAAGTTCAAACCATGTGACTAAGTGCACAGTCCAATCTCTTCTTAAATTCAGTCAGGCTCGGTGCAGTGACCACTTCCCTGGGGAGCCTGTTCCAGTGTGCAACCACTCTCTCTGTGAAGAACTTCCTCCTGATGTCAAGCCTAAACTTCCCCTGCCTCAGCTTAACCCCGTTCCCGCGGGTCCTGTCGCTGGTGTTAATGGAGAAAAGGTCTCCTGCCTCTCGACACCCCCTTACGAGGAAGTTGTAGACTGCGATGAGGTCTCCCCTCAGCCTCCTCTTCTCCAGGCTGAACAGGCCCAGTGCCCTCAGCCGTTCCTTTAGTACAGGTTCAGTTCTGTAAATGTTTTTTGCCGTTCTTCTGTTGTTCTTTGTTTACACATAATGCAAACATAAAAAAGAAGAAGAAATCAGCCTACTGATCTTTTCCTCATTTTCATGGAAAACTATTACAGTCTCTGAATTTCAGTTTCATAAGGCCAACAATAATAATAAGCAAATAAGCACTATCTTCTGTAAGTTATTAAAACCAAGTTTCCCAAAGTTCTGCCTTTGTTGGACTAAAGTCCTACATGAAACTAATGGAAGCACTAAAACCATTCTTAGGGATTTAACATGGCTATTTGCTAATCCCAGCAGTGTCTTTCCAGAATTGCAGCATTTATGAATATGCCTGTGGTGTTTGGTGTCAGATATCTATCTACCTGGTACCTATGTCTCATATGTTAGTCTTCTGTTTATTTGAGACATCCATATAAAACTTCTCCTTGTCCCACTTTATGATTCTCAGGTAACATTTAAGAACATAAAAATCCACAGTGCCAGAATTCTCTTGTCGTGTTTAGCTGTATTTAGCCAATAGACCTAAGCAGAATGACAGAGACACAAAACTTGATAATATCGGCCTTGTTTCCCTAGCAAACTATTTTAACAACTCATCAAATAACTTTGTTATATTAACATTTGTTATATTTAATAACTTTGTTATATTCACATATTTATTGGAAAAAAAAAATCTAATAAAAATGCAGCTCTAAGTTTCAGTTACAATAAAAAATGAGGTAAGGAAGCTGTGGTATAATTGCCTGAGGTAACTAGGGAAATAAAACTAACATTCACATTTTAAAGAAAATGTACAGCATTGAAGAGGCTTTCAGGGTAGGGCATAGCTGCATTACCTGAGCGTTCCCTGGGCTTCCAACCTTAGATGCTATCGTGCTGGAGAAACTTGGTGTGCTAGCCCTAAGGAACAGTATGGAGCATAGAGTGGAGTGGAGACACCATGGTTAGGCTCTGTAACCAAATGGGGACTCTATTGTTCTTGTACACACTGAGACCGATAAGCTGCACTTTTGCCACCCTGAGCCAAGGACCTGTCATGTTTTGACAAATGCTGTACCCTAGTGTACTTTTTGCTCATTATAATATCAATATAATACCAAAAAACACCTCCATCCCAAAAGCTACCCACCTCCAAGGTGCGACCACCCCTCACCGAGCATGCGCTCTGAATTTCTTGGAGCCTATTACTTTAAACGGAGACGGGAGAACTTTTCACTAATCATAACTAAGATATGCTTGACTAGAGTCACTCAAGCTCCACCTAAAAGATAGAAAATAACATAAATTGGCCCAAGAGAGAGGGGGTGTCAGGGAAGACACCATCCTGAGGAAATACAACATCCTTAGGACCTCCTGACTCCTGGGATCAGATGACGGGCTGAGCCTCTCTTCCCCCCCACATTGGGACACCTTTGGGTGAGATCTGAATACTTGCTTATAAATCTCTACAGAGTCTTTGATCCTTTTAACGCGTTTATTTCTAGGCTGCACACCTGTAACAACTGTAACACCTGTGTATTTCATGCATACTAGCTTGCTTTTGCAGACAGTCACTATTGCCGGCAATCCAAAAGAACCTGGTTATCTGTTGCTGTAATAAACCATACTTGATTGCATTGTGATAGCTCTCATTAAATGCAACTAGAGTAAGGGTGGTTATCTGTGACTGTGATAGTTCAGTGTTCTGAATCCAACCAGACCCCCAGACGGTTAATGCATTGTTGGTGAACGTCTGACTGGACCCCTAGATGGTTAACGTGTTGTTGGTGAATGTCTGACTGGTTCAGTACCCTGAAGCTGACCGGGCCTGTAACAGTTAATCAGCTACACCCCTTAACACGACAGAAGCCACATAAATAAAATGTCTTTCTCAGAAAAGAACAGCAAAGCAAGTCACCAAAGAGAAATGAGCACAGAGATACAGAACCCGAAAGTTGTAAGAATTTTAATATTATTTGTAGATGGATGTATGAAATAAAGTCTTTAGAAACTTGAAACAAAGGAAAGAACTGAAGAAATGAATAGCAAAGCCTAAACCCAAATTAAGTGTTCTCTATCTGCACTAAGGGTAAGATTACTGAGGCTCCTAGAAACATGTCATGAAGCATGAATAGGACAGTCACTTGGGGCTCAGGCTGCAGATCAAAGCAGATTGAGGAAAGGAAGTTGATCAGGTCTGCGTTGGCATCCCTGCAATCTGAAAGAAACCACATGCTGTGTTTTTGAAGGTTTTGTTCTGGTATGGAAAAACAAAACATTCCTGCTGGAATATATGCCTGACTAAGTAGTGGACATTTGGGAAGGTGTTTTTTTGTTTGTTTGTTTGATTGTTTGTTTGTTCTCTAACATTGTATCTATCAGTTTGGATCACACAATATACCTTTAGTCATTGTATTTACAGTAAGACTACCATTTAAATACTGAAGGTGGAAGAATAAGGTAAAAATCATTGAGAAAGACTAGTGGTAATAGAAAGGAAAGAACAGTTTCAAAAATATTGTTTTCATAATGTTATATGACCTTTTTGAGTAATTCCTTGACCCCTTCCCCAACCCTTCTGTCCTCTTTGCAAGAACTATCAGACTTGTCTTGCATTCAGGCAAAAAAAAAAAAAAAAAAAGACCTGTTATCTTTAGAATAAAGATTTCAGTACCTTTAGCACTCTTTCTCCTACTTATTTTGTCATAAATTCGTATACCTGTGTTTCAGCCATCCCATTCAGCGTGATCAGTGCAGGTGTCTCAACATCCTCCTTCAGTTAGCTCAGGTGTCTCTGCTTTGATGCATTAGATCTTGGGAAAGAAAAAAAAAAAAAAGAAAAAAAAACAACAAACAAACAAACAAAAAACCTTCTTAACCCATTAACTCAAACCATTACAGTTAAAGTGTAAAAAAAAAAAAAGTGAAAAATAAATAAATACTGCTTATTTTACTGAAGAATCACAGGAAGGTTAGCAACGAATGTCTCTAAAATCGGTTGTTTACATATCAGCCCCATTTTATTGATTACCATTTTTCTTAACCCCAGTTGCTTTCTACTGAATTCTCCAAGCTTCAGAAAGAATTTAATCACATCATTTAACAAGGAAAATAAAACCATGTGTACTTGATTGTTTTCCAGTTGTGGATGCTCAGCTATGTGAAGAAGTACCCTGGCTACAAATCTCTGATGTAAATTTAGTTGCTTTTGTTGTTTGCATAGCATTTTTACTAAGTAATCTCACTCAGAAAACAAGTGTCTATTCAAACAAATACTGCAGCTGTGTGATGTTGCAGACCTTTCAGAGTCATGGAAAATCATCCCACTAATGTGTTCCTGGATTAATTCTCATGTCAGTGGTGTCAAAACAGACTCTTTTCCATGCCTATAATAGTTTCTCCACAGCCAACACACAATACTGTTTGTTCTAGATTTTTATTGCTGATCTTCCCCCTAATGCAATATTTGCTAGGGTGTAAATTGCTAGGATGTGTATGTTTTGCCATCAGTGTTCAGTTGCATGCATGGAAATGTAGTTCTCAAATAGCTTCCGAAGACATTTACTACAAATGTCATGAAGCTGTTCCATATATTTCTTTGTGTATGTTCTTATGTTCCTAAACTCATACAGAGTCATAATTTTCCAAAAGACTCTCTGCATACAAAGGTCAATAGACTGAAAGTCCTGGAGCAGACTGCTACACATGCTAGGTTTTGCAGCCTGACCCCTCGCTAATATTCACTGTGATAATATTTGATGACTACAGACTTCACTACTATTTTGTGAAAATTATTATAGAAGTAGGGGGACAGACTAAAATTAGATGGGCTTTTGGTATTTACATACAACTCCTTTTTACTTCTTCAGTGATAGCAGAAGAGGAGCAAGGGGTCATATAACTGCTATCAATCACACAGATAAGTGCAGTTGGAATTTGGTCTTTTGTCAATTGTAGAGAGACTTTGGTACAACATATTTGTCGAAACCTGGGTCTTGACATGAAAATCCACAAGAATTTCTCTATCAAAACAGACATTTTTAACAATATCAAAACAATTATAATCTTTTTTATGGATCACTCAAAGTAGGAATATATCCTATATTTCATTCACTTACCTTTTCTGCAGTAAATTCCTAATTAAGATGACTGCAAGAAAATAAAGGCCTCTTCCAAATAGTTGCTATGGGGATTAAACTAAAATCTTTAGCTCAGTCTTTAGGAATTCTTAGCAATCCAGAAGCTTACCAGCCACTTATTTTCTAAATTCACTTTTGTAAATAATAGAAGTGCCCTAAGAAGGAAAATATTTGTATGTTGTACACTATAAGCCAAGCATCAGCTTACTCTTTTTTTTTTTTTTCTGTTTCTGTGTGTGTTTTAATGTTTGTTTGGATGATTTTTGTAGTTTTATTCTGTTTGCAAAATACATGAATCATGAAATAGATTTATTTTATTTTTATTTTTTTAGTATTTCAGGCAATAAATCTGCATATGACAGAATTTTGGATCTGCAGTTTGTTAAAGAGCCAAAAGGAACTCTAACGAACCTCTAATTGGAACACAATTGTACATTTTTCTTCACACAAATATTGAAGAGAAAAAAAAAAAAAAAAAAAAAAAAAGAATCTAACATAAACAAAGAGGTTTTCAAAATGTCTTTTGCTTATTTTGCATAGAAGTTTACCAGCAGTTACGAAAGCTAGCAGAGGACATACAGTTAAAACCAACTAAAGTTACACTGTTTCCTTTTGCAGCAGTGGTAGGAGCAGCGGCCCTGTTATTTGTCTACTTTACTTATTGATCATCACTCAGGCAAGAATATTATATAGCTGTCCTTGTCTTATTGACCTGACTACACTGCTACCTCTGACACAGCTCCTGGAGCACCACCAAACACTGTCGAACTGTGGGAGATGAGTCTGGCATTGTGGAGAACCATGGGAGAGGGACATGATGTATCATGGAAGGATTCCTGAGCTGGGGGAAAATCGTCTTATGTTCGGACTTTTGCTACTCGTTCTAGGGGAAACAGTGAGACTACCAAGGGAAACTTTGAATAGACCAAGCAGCTAGGGCAAGCAAGAGTGGTGCATCCTGCAGACCAACACCTGTCTGCCTGGCTGAAGTTGCAAAGAGTTGACTTTTATAACCAGGGAATGAAAACTGCTGGGAGATTTGAGATTCATCTGAGAAAGGGGGTCATAAGCATCTTTGCCAACAATCTGCTAACCTAGTAAGGAGGATTTTAAGCTAGGTGTATCAGGCATGGTGCCCAGAGCCCAAAGGGATAAAGGAAAAATAGAGAGGAAATATTTACAGCACAAGGCCATCTCTCTCACTCTACCTTAGAAATTGGTGCTACTGGAGCCTACCTCAAGTGTCTGTACATGGACATGAAAAATAAGTAGGAAGAATTACAGTCCATTCACTGTCAAAGATCTGTTATATCACTGGAAATACTGAGATGTGGTGACACATCTATGGTAATGCAGTACTAGTTGCTGTTAGGGAAGATAACAATCAGTGAACACTTGAACATGTACAAATCCACAGGATGAGACAAGATGCATTCCTGTGCAGTCCTATAGATACCATCACAAGCCACACTCAATAATCTTTGAAAGATGATAGTAATAACTAAAGGTTCCTGACAAGTGGAAAGAAGGCAACATCATATGCATCTTCAAGAAGGGCAAGGGTGAAAATCAGGAAGACATAGGCTTGTTTAGCCTAATCATATGAAGATTGCAGACTAAGTCCTCTGGGAAGCCATTGCTAAGAACACAAAAGTGAATAGAGTGGTTGGGAAGACTGAGTATAAAACTACCCAGGAAAAATCACACCTGACTAACCTAAAAGTTTTTTATGAGGTGACTGGGTGAATACAATGTTTTAAAAGATACCTTCATAGTGTTTTAACTTGCACAGAGGTGGAAGTAAAAATGTTTCAGTAACAAGAGGTTAATACTCCATATTCTATGTTAAGAAAATAGAGGTTTTGTGTAATTATGGAAACTTAATGAATAGATTCTCATATAAAAATATGAAAATAAACAAGCTAACTCTGTGATGCAAGAAAAAAAAAATAAAAGGATTCTCTTGCAGAACTTGATTCGGATCTGCTCCAAACTTGGTTTGTATCTGCTTTAAGTTTAGGCCCTATGACTTTTGGAACAGCTGACTGTTCAGACAGGAATGTTGGAAATATTTATGTCCATAGATTGAATTTCAGTTCTCTCCTATCCTGGTTCACATGAGGATTTCTGAATTTACCTGCTTCTTAATTTCTTAAGAACTGCAGAACCTCAGGCACCAACCAAAAATACTTGTAAAACTCTGAAAGCTAGGCTTAGTTTGTCTGTAAGCATACATTTTCTTGAGCTTTACAGCAAAAATATTCAAGCATTTTGTTCAAGAAATTCAAGTTGTTTTGAAAAATTTGTATTCATGGGAAGGAATATGTAGTAGGAAATTACAGACAGTTCAGTGATAGACTATGAAATAATGCAGAGGACTCTTATAAGCATCAGTAATTACCTTATTATCACTGCGCCCTGAAAATCCAATAATAGTGGTTTAAGAATACTGATGTCATCTCTTCTTGAAATACTCCATATATATGAAGTTATTCTTTATTTTACACATTTGTTCTGTTTTTTAAAATTACTCTCTTAGGAAGCTATAAAGGATTCTTATGCTGCCTACAACATGTCAGCAAGGTTACACAGGTTAGTTTGCACATTACCAAGCCTGGTTTTATTATCATCAGCATAAGGACCACATAGAGCAGCCATCTTCAAGACTCATTCATACATAATGGGAATTTATGAAAATAGTTCTGGAAAATATTTAAGTATTGTATACATTTTTTAATTTCATTTAAAATTTTACCTCACTAGTAACATTTTCACAAAGGAGGACATATTTGTTTCTTGATGGTCATGTTGTTTTTTTTGCCACACCTATAAAAATGAACTGTAAGACACACTCAGAGATATCTTCTCCAAAGCCAAATAAAGTTATTTTGCTTCAATATTCTTCAAATCATTTGTAAACATTTTTTCTTCTTAATTTCTATTTCAAAAGCTGTTATGTTTGTATCCTAGACAAAGTTAAATTACTTAATTATTCTTTATCATTTGTATTGTTATGTAAATCATGAAAAATTATTTGAATTTTCTCTAACTAAGAAACAGAAACTTAGATTATAAACACACACCTTTAAAGAATTGAAATCTGTGTGACAGCTCTTACAATTAGCAAAACATATATATGAATTAAGCAGAGATACTTGCCTGTGCAAAAATCCATTCTTTAGTATTCAGGTTATGTATATCTCTATCACTTTTACACACTTTTTGTTGTTGTTTCCATTCACTAAGGTGTGCCAAAAATTTATCTTCCAACTCAGGTAAATGAGTATTGAGTCTGTGGGGTCCAGAGAAGAGGTATGCTTTCCTTTCATCTTAAGTTTTAATGATTAAAAAACAAAAGCTGAAACCTCATTACTTCCAACTAATGTTGAAACTGTTGAGTTAGTGAAAAGCAAACACATTACCTGAATTGTATACCAACCCATCAGTGACCTACTCTTCAGCTGAGCTTTTGTGAAATAAAAAATATACTTCAGAACTTGGTAACTTGGCCAAGTGTTCTCTTAGTTGAAAATCATCCTTTGTTACTGCCAAATGGGGACATTTCAAGTGTTATTTGCAGTTTAAAAGAAACGTTTTTAACACATGCAAACTATAAAGTTGATTTACATTTAAAAAGCTAACATACTGTATTTGGCAATGAATCCTGCCTGGCA